GACGACTCAACAAAAAATAAGAGGATTCCAAGTGTGGCGCTGACACGACGTCAGTGAGTGTTCGTTTGCATCCATACCCATGGGCGAAATGTTCATCAGTTGTCGCTTCAGTGTCTCTATGTATGGCGTTACCTAAAGGTCATAGGAAGCTACGAATTCATAGAATAATTAGATTTCACTTCCATATGGTCGCTCATGGTGTCGTAGAGAGGCAATCATCTAACTCGTTCTCCACAGTACAGCAATAGCTGCTAGGCGGTTAGACAATTGTGTGCGAATGTCATTGCAAAGATCATGGGGGACATAGTTTCCACAACAGGCTGCAAACGTTACAACCTCAAACAGCCACCAATCCGCTTCTTATTACCACTCACAGATTTCCTCTCGCCCCCGTGCCAGTGATAGCTCCTTACGCCGGATTGGCAGCATGACCAATCACGTACTATGTCTTCCATTGGCTGATCATCCTCGACACCATTGAAGTGTGCTGATACACCGATTGCGATCAACTGACAGGCGACCGACAAACGGAGTGAATGGTACAGCGAAGTTGCAAGCCCACTACCAGCCTGTAGGTAGTATTAAACAAAACAATCGTTCCAAAATATGCTCTTGTTTAAAAGTACCATCACATTCTGTGCCGCACCAATGCGCGCCTGAAGGAAAGCCGAGGCGTTCTCTCTGGATTCAGACCGTCCAATCGACATGATTGAAAGCGTCCATACCACTGCACGCGCGCACAGTGTCACACTTGTTAGTCTTCCCTTTGGTGTGGCCACAGACTCGACCCCAAAGTGCATCGCGTGATACGCAGCGGACCAATGTGGTCCAGATCACACGAGGAGTTTACTAGGCCAAAGAACAGGTAACATTACAGCAAGTGATCGATAGTACTGGTTAACCAGCGACTTCGTCGTCGTGTCGAGGATGATCAGCCAATGGGAGACATAGTACGTGATTGGTCATGCTGCCAATCTGGCGTAAGGAGCTATCACTAGCACGGGGGCGAGAGGAAATCTGTGAGTGGTAATAAGAAGCGGATTGGTGGCTTTTTGAGGTTGTAACGTTTGCAGCCTGTTGTAAGAGGGGCTTTGAAGGCTTACACGAGCGTGATGACAACTAATTGAGTAGTGATAGGAAGCGGATTGGCTGCAACCCTGTTGGAAGGGAACCTTTGTAGGCTTACCGGTTGAATGCAAGTTACCTACCTTGCTCGCTAGCCTATCTGGCCACACGTGATGCATAGTGTAATCGTGCCACTGCGAGCAATCTGGAGAATCGATAGGTGTGCGACTTACCTTAGGATGTGCGTGTGATTGTTAAGGCAGTGTGAGGTAATCGGAAACAAGGCAATAATTCGTATGAAGGAGGTAAAGCTAGAACTTGGCAAATAGAATTTTTAAAAAGCTTTACAGCTACAAATTTCTCGTGCTGTGTTTTTTCAGTTGGCCGTACACTCCTGTGAATAGCGTAGATAGGTATTGCTTATGTAGTCGGCGCATTGTATACTAAGATCAAGTTCGCTGTGTAGGTAAGATCATCATTGGATCTGTAGCCATTGTTCCAGAGAGGAGGGTTCCTAGTGTGGCGGTGACATGACATTAGTGAGTGTTCGTTCGTCGCCACACCTGTGGGCCACTTCGGTAATCAGTTACCGCTACAAGACCCATGGTCCTGCCGTTATGTTAAGGTCGTAAGATGCATGTCAATCCTGCGTTTCAACATGACATTTACCCTTCACTTCCAAGTGATTGATAAGCTTTAAAACTCAAGTGACCCTACGGCCCTGATATGAGGTGCCTACGAGCATTGCATACGCATAGTAAGCATAGAGTTTGGAGAAATTTTCCTCCTTCAACAACGTCTCCGGAATTACCTACTTCCCAATGACAAAATGTTTCCCAGTAGTTGCTAAGTCGCTAACAACCTGTGTCACGGCGTGCATACATGAATGCTTCTAAGACTAGCTGAAACAGTGATCCATAGCAGGCTTAGTGGGCGCGGTTGCTTTTGTAAATGATTGCAAACACATTGTAGGAACGCCCGTGGGTGAGACAACAGTGTTTATCTGTTCCAAGTACTCACCTGAAGTACCAGAGTAACATGCCTGCGTCGCCACTAATCATAAGTCTTGCGTTCTTTCTAGCAGGATGAGGTGGCATGTATAAACACCGTAGTCATTGTGGCCCCTTTAGGTGTTACTTTGTTGAGTAATGCCGATTCCTTGAGGAGAGCATGCCAGTCCATTGACGTAATAGGGAGGTTCCATCTGCATTGACTGTGCTTATAATGGTTCCATTTGGAGAGCCACTTGTGAAAGCGTCTCAACACGTATGGGCGATCATATGGAAGTGAAGTCTAATTATCCTAAGAATACATAGGTTCCTATGACCTTTACATAACGCGATACATGTAGGCACTGAAGTGGTAACTGACTAACAAATTCTCCCATGGGTTAGGAGACAAACGAACACTCATTAACGTCGTGTCAACGCCACACTTGGAATCCTCTCACATTTTGTTGAGCCATCAACTGTGATAGAAGTAAGCAAACATAGAATTTTCGTTGTTCAGCTTCAGGTTGGTCTATTAACTTCAATGGGAACAATGTCCCCATGATCGTCGCAATAACAATCGCACAAAATTGTATAACTACCTAGCAGCCATTGCTGACGTGCGGAATACCAGTGAGATTATTCTCTGTCTACGTCACCATGGGCGACCATATGGAAGTGAAACCTAATTATCCTAAGAATTCATAGGTTCCTATGACCTTTACATAACGCCATACATAGAGACACTGAAGCGACAACTGATTAACATTTCGCCCATGGGTATGGAGACAAACGAACACTCACTGACGTCGTGTCAACGCCACAATTGCAATCCTATCATTTTTTGTTGAGTCATCAACTGTGATCGAATTAAGCAACCTTAGAATTGTCGTTGTTCAGCTTCAGGTTGGTCTACTAACTTCTGTGGGAACTATGTCCCCCATGATCTTCGCAATGACATTCGCACACAATTGTCTAACCGCCTAACAGCTATTGCTGTACTGTGGAGAACGAGTTAGATGATTGCCTCTCTACGACACCATGAGCGACCATATGGAAGTGAAATCTAATTATTCTATGAATTCGTAGCTTCCTATGACCTTTAGGTAACGCGATACATAGAGACACTGAAGCGACAACTGATGAACATTTTGCCCATGGGTATGGATGCAAACGAACACTCACTGACGTCGTGTCAGCGCCACACTTGGAATCCTCTTATTTTTTGTTGAGTCGTCAACTGTGATCGAATTAAGCAACCTTAGAATTGTCGTTGTTCAGCTTCAGGTTGGTCTACTAACTTCTGTGGGAACTATGTCCGCCATGATCGTCGCAATAACAATCGCACAAAATTGTATTACCACCTAGCAGGCATTGCTGAACTGCGGAATACCAGTTAGATGATTGCCTCTCTACGCCACCATGGGCGACCATATGGAAGTAAAACCTAATGATCCTATGAATTCATAGCTTCCTATGACCTTTAGGTAACGCCATACATAGAGACACTGAAGCGACAACTGATGAACATTTCGCCCATGGGTATGGAGACAAACGAACACCCACGGACGTCGTGTCAACGCCACAATTGCAATCCTATCATTTTTTGTTGAGTCATCAACTGTGATCGAATTAAGCAACCTTAGAATTGTCGTTGTTCAGCTGCAGTTTGGTTTAACAACTTCTGTGGGAACTATGTCCCCCATGATCTTTGCAATGACATTCGCACACAGTTGTCTAACCGCCTAGCAGCTATTGCTGTACTGTGGAATACGAGTTAGACGGTTGCCTGTCTACGCCACCATGGTTAGGCCGCTGAATAAGCCACCATTAGGTAGCCGCCAGTGATCGCCATAGACCGCTACATGTGCTGGTTAGTATGTCTATCCACACTGGTTAAGTCTTAAGCTTTGGATAGTGTGGTAGCTAGCATCTCCTCCTTTGACAAGCATCACAATTTACCTATTGGTCGGTTTCAGGTTGGAGACCAATCATCGAGGTTTACTCCAGAGGGGCATCAGGGCAGAACGGAAGGTGGTGCTCGACCACTTTCATTGGACTGTCTGTCGCTTATGCTGGCAGCTTCTAACCGGTGTCCCATTGGTTTACGTCCCATAACCAATGAGAGTGTCAAGGACGCCAAATCAGCGTTCTCAGCCTCGCTAACTTGAAAGTACCGCACGCTATTTCGAAAATGAACCACGCTAAATGCTTGGTACAATACGCTAATATGCGTGTAAAATGGAAAATAACCAGAGTGCCGAATCAATTGCTTTGAAATGGACTCGGGATTACCAGCTTTGGGAACCATAATGACAATTCCGTTCAAACAGCGACAGGAAAACCCATCAAATACAGGGATAAAAGTGATTAGACCATTAAGTGCTAAGCAAGCGAGCATGTAAAGCGAAGATGAATTCGTAGAAAGGACGACCAGCATAAAGCATAATTGAAGCAAAACGACATGTCGGAATTCTAGTACGTTGCCGAGGTTGGATCAGCTTTAGACGTTAACATCTAACATGATGACACGGGAACATGCCGCGTGTTATACTTCTAACGGTTTGCGATTCAAATTCACTAAGGTCGCGATTTTTTCATCTTTGAGTGATTTTACCACTAAACAGAATAGAGCAGCCCGATCTATAGCCAAGCTCATTCACCGTGACTGTGAAGGCACTGCTACTTAAACGTGTGGCATCTGTTATTTCCTCTATGGTGTCTGAATGTAGCTGAGAAAAGTAACCTCACAAAATTTTTCCGAACTGAACCGTGGTCAGACTGTTCAACTAAGACATGCTATGCAGAGTGCGATGTAGTATATTAGTGGTATTAATGAAGATTAAGGCAGAATGGTTTATACACACTGTCCTTCCTCGATCACCCGCTTTTAAACAAGCCTACCGGTCTTGGATGCAGCCTTAGCTCTTATTTTCGTTTGAACAGGTCAAATCAAACTGAACGGCTTACTCCTTCAACCGGAAACTCGTGTTGAGCATTTACACAACGTGCATGAGCTGTTCGCTTTAATGCGACAGATTAACGTTCGTTTGGGGACTATTCAACCAGAAAGTAAGTCTGTGCGACCACGTTTCGTTTTCGTTTACGGTGCCCCAAGGAAATGACTTGCCCAGTTCGAGGCAGCTACATTACCTGTTATCGGGATCGCAAACCATGTATAATTTGCTTAATGTTTGTCGGGTCGCGTAATATCGTCCACGATGAACACTCAATACTGCGAGCATTCTTCTACTCAGCTCATCTTAGGGCCGAGCCACATCATGAGTGAATAAAATGTTGACAAAGTATATATGCGGTTTCCTTGTAATCCTTTGCCTCACAAGATATGCTGATGTACATCAAATGTTTCCTAAGAGGCAATGAGACGCCGCTTTTGTCAATAGAGTGTACTCGTAATTAGCTATCAAGGATCACCCTGATCGCGGGTCTGTACTCTTCTTTGCTCAATTTGCTATCCAATTCGTCCCACATAGGCTAGTAATGGAGTTCATGGAGCATCCACACTGTCCGTTATGGAACAATAGGGAGGTACAGGTCCACTTTGGGCTTCACACCAATCCCATTTACTACATAATGACCAACTCAAGCTCATTGATGCATATGGCTTCAGGACAGAAGCATTCATAAGCAATTGAGCCTAACAAATCCGAATTTGTACATACATCCCTCATTCATGTCGTCCCATTGTTTTAGATCTTAGATATACCCGGATAACCCAAGTGCGATGCCAGTAGAACCTGCTAAAGTCTGAGTGACACGTATGCATACCACTTAGTCTATTGAATAGTTTAGACCACTTCTCAGATACGTCCATTGACTTCAATGTTATTGAATGGTCAATTGGCATCAACCACCCAAGCACAGTTTCCTTTTCAAGATCCAATTGTATCCGATTACTTTCTAGCTTATGCTTCCAATGCGTTTTATTCGTCAGTAGTCAACCCCTGTCATTCATCTATTCACCCTCACAGATGTCATGAATGGAGACAAAGAATCCATCCTTCAACTTGTGCAAGCAATATCTAATCATTTTAAACGACACCCTCGTGGAAGACGATCGGTTAGCCCACATCCTTATTCCACCAACAGCGACCGAGTAAGTCAAATGATCATCTCTCGATGCTCGACGCCAGTGTACCTTTGAGTTCTCAATCCACGCTTAGACGAATATTCGGTAACACGGTGACAGCATAGTTACCTATAAGTTGTTCGGCAATCACCCCTACCTTGCGGAATTATCTCATGCACGAAGGAGCAGAGGGTGAATAGAGTTTTCAGCTGGTTCTCACCCATACCGTTTTAGCTTCGTTTCAGCATTCACTTAGGTCTGGAAGCCACCGTGACCTTATTTAGTGTCCAGACTGCCAATCAAACAGAACGGCTGGCTCAGCCAAAGAGATTATGCCAGAAAGCCTCGAACACGTCGACATACATGGTGGCACTAACGCTTCCCTCCCCTGGGACCTCCTGGCTGGTAACTATAAATGTCGTTCTGAGAACCATAGAGCATACATACTTTGCTGATCTGCATCACACAGGGAACCCCAAATAGCTATCAAGCAGGCTTTCTATAGCAGCAATCTTGGTCTTACAATATTAAAGTCCAGGGTCAAAAGCTGGATCTGCAACCTACTTCACACTCATTGTAGTGGCCTTTTAAGCAAAAACGTTCAAAAATGCGAAAGAGAAACTTCCCAACAGAAAACAGCATTTGGAACTGAGCTCAAGCCGCGCGGTGGATGGGTGACTCACAGGCAGTCGAAACGGTTCTTGGCAGACTAAGCAGTATGGAACTGCATGTGGTGTAGCACTATTTCGTAGGGCTTAAGTCTGTCTCCGCCAATTGTGTCGGTCGCGCACTCCACGTTCGCCAGCTGTCGTTACCTCGGTTCTTGATGTGACGGACACAGCATGGTCAAGTATAGTCTATTTCATCAAAGTTGTGAATGAACTTGAAGGATGTGGTCATACCACAGTAGCTATACTTATCGTATTGAGCTCTGTAGAGGGTTACCCGTAGGTGACTTGCACTGTTGCAAAACAACGGCGTCTAAATATCGCAGTACGATGGAGATAACTCGATTAGCATATCAGTGATAGCGTGATAACAGTCCTGGCTAAAGGGGACACTCAAGTTACAGAATTCGATCAAAGCGAACTTTCCATACATGTGCTACGCAATGTATGATCGGTGCATCCAGCGTCCGTGCTAAAATCATCCTCGTTGTTCGACGACTAGATATTCCCCAGACCGATTGGTCTCTGGAATGGGGAACTTTGTGGGCGGGTTGAAGGCTATCCTTTAGTACATCTCCAAAAACAGGTTGAAATTTGACAACCAGTAGTCGGGAGACGATCCCGATAAAAATGAGGAGAACAGTAACTAGTGAGTCACCGAGGTTTTGCGCCAGCCAGCGACGGCAGCAAATTGCCGGTACTAAACATCAGGTTCTTATTTGAAAGTGCTATTTAGGTCGAATTTCTTTTGTGTCTTTGGCTCAAACTTTGCACCTAAGGTGTGTTTAGGCTACTGGTGGAGCTGTGTCCGCATATCAGACTACTGCAATGAAATTTCATGATTCTCAGCCAAACATCCAGGTTGACACACCTAAAGTGCCTCAGCCTTTCGCCATCTTCGACGATCGTCCATCTAATAAGGGTCTTTTGTGGGACACGTCCGGCTAATTCTTGTAATTACCCCTTCTACGAAATGGTGAACTTACGAGGCATAGTAATAGTCTCCCACCGAGTAATATATTTGAGTTTGGGACGCCATAATAAACATTGATATTATGGTAATTAACGACCGTAATCGCATAGCAGAAATCTCATTGCAAGGTTGAAAGAACAGTCTAGGGAAACATGCTTTTTCCATAAAGTTTCTTCATGATCGCACAACGGCATGGGAAACGTAGCTTGGTTAACTTTCCACTGGGGTCGAAACGGTGCACTCCGATCTAATTGGACAATGCCAAGCACTGTCAGTTAGGTAGCAGCTGCAGCCTGTTCATAGTTCTGCGGACCGGAGACAATAATCCGTACAGCTAGATCGCGAAGATTTCTGCAAATTCAAATAACCGCCTACGGACTTACTTTGATGGGTTGACAGTCAACACCACCCTACTGGCTTAGCCGAGTTAGCGGCAAAGCCATGTCAATGGGCAACGCTTTATAGATGGCAAAAATACGGGGAGTCAACATATACTCATGTTACCAGATAAAACTGCAACGGACTTCCAGTCTATTGAATATTAGACCAAATGTCAAAACGGTAGCTCCAATGTCTATTACAGCTTAGATAGACACCAAAGATGTTCGATTCATCATCAAGTTCGGACAATAGCAAAGAATGGGTGGACTGCCGTTGGGTACATAACTGCCGCAACCATCGCCCAGTAACCCATGGAAGCGTGAGACGCTACTGTTCTAGCCGTTGATGTTATTACTACTGCTCAGATGACAGGCGGGGTAATAGTGGACCGTGGTTTACCTTTTATTACTTTAATGAAGATTCATTATTCCACCTTTGATGAATTCAAACGCTATATTGCCAATTTCAACAAGACACGTACACAGTGTTCTATGCGTGTAACTTGACTCGCTGGCCTCTATGGATGTAGATGGTCCTTCCTCCCAAAGAATGTCCACTTCCGCAAATCTAGGATTTAACCTTATTGTGAAAGTCCGTAAATCAGCTGTAGATCCAGGGACTCATAAAAAGATTTCTACTTGTTAATCTTCTGCTTTAGACAGTTCCGTTCGAAATATATCGTTTAGGCAATGCACGCAATAATCATCATGACCACTACTCATGCCAGGAACGATACCGTTGGATGGTAATCGATGGTAGACTAACAACATTTTTGCGTACTTTCCGTCAAGTAATCTGTTGCGCCACTTCACATTTTCCCAGCGTATGCGTCTTTTCCCTTGCGAGTTCAAGCGTCTACCGCTTTAAATGTGCCACCGCATGTGAATTGGGAATTGATTGGTAAATGAACTACTCAGCTATGCGGGAGTGAGTCTCTCTTCGACATGCAGTCCCGAGTTGGGCCGGGTGATGTACGTTCAAGCTGTCGGAGAATCGTCTTGTTGTATGACCGATGTACCCTATCCCATAAGAATAAATAAATAAATAAATAAATAAATAAATAAATGTTATATTCCTCGGTGTTTCGAGGTACAGTCCAGCTATGTGGGCTGATCAATGTGTACAACAGGGTCGCAAAAAAATAGTCAATTTGTTCACGCTTTTTACAATGGATCCAAACCAGGTACTAAACTAATTGGCAGGATTAAGGCATTAAAGAAATTAAAACGCCGGAACAATAACGTAAGCAGATTTAAGCAGATATCCAGTTAAAGTAATACGGCCACTCGTGGAACCATCCCCAGGGGACCTGCTTCCATGCAAGGTATTCCCTCGAAAGGTTTCGCTCGCACTTCCATGCAATAACTGGCCGTGTGCCGGTGTGGCATAGTAGCATATGAGCCATCACCTGTATATCATATGATTTGTTCATTTTAGAGCTGCTTTTGAACATTATGGGCCATGAAGGCTCAGCCCAGTCCGTCATGCAGATCATTCTATTATGGCACTTTTTTATACGCCAGACAGTTGGTGGCAATTTGCCTTGCATAGGTAACATCTTTTATAATCTGGAAGCTGTAATCCGTCACCACTGGAGATCAGCCCATTCGTGGCCAACTATGAAATAAGGAAGAATATAGAAAAGAAGAATTATATGAAAGGGGTACTATATCGTTAATGTAAAAAATAGGCAGGTATGTTTTGTACATCGGCGTAGAAATCGATCGAGCCGATCATACGATAAATTGTGTAATGTGACAGCCGGAGACAGATGACTGTACGAGTTATCCATAGGCAAAAGTCGCATAGGGAATCAGTTATTGCCATCACTGAATTCAAGTATATGTTTCTGGACTGTTAACTTCAGAAAAGAGGGGGAAATGATTAGCACTGGAGAACAAATGTAGCGAAAGGGATCGCAGAACAATATTACGAATTAATCAATTTGTGGTGGAAAATTACGAAAATAGTTCCTGACATCACACCAGTAAATAATTTTACTCTCGGTTTTAAGCAGAAGACAGTTGATATGAATTAAGTTTAAAGGGAGTAAAACCGCATGGAAGGTAGCGTTAAGGAATAGCAAAGAAGCGGTTTGTAGCAGCTCATCCTAGCTGATCAAGTTTTCTCTGGTGCAGTAGAGTTGATGTTCTCCGGTATCAGACATGATCCGGCCCTTCTTCATACAGCTTTTCATCATCAAGTTGAATGCTTAAGATCCATTTCGCTCTGTCCGTTGACAGATAAGCCTTTATCATTTTCTTGAACATGCAGAAATGTTCAATACATCTAATCTCTTTTGGCAGCTTATTCCAAATGGAGCCATACCTAAGAAGATAGAAATTTCTCCTTAGACTGCTCTTGAATTTAGGTAAATAGAATATGCATTCTTTATCTCGCGGTTCATAAGTGGTGTTTTCCCGAAAGTGCAATTGATAGGTTCCAATATATGCTTTCCGCCACGCGAGTTTGTGGAGGAAGCACAGATTTAATTGCATTCTTCGTAACCACAGAGGTTCAAGATTCAATTGTTTGCACCTATCTCGGTATGAAAGAGTGGTTGTACAGCCAAATATGCGCTTCGTAAAGGCGCGTTGGACGTTTTCAATGGCTCGCAAGTCAGCCTTTCGCAAGTTACTGAACACAGCACAACAATATTCAAGCAAAGGCCAGATACTGATTTTGAAAGCAGTTAGTCTGGTTTCTTTCAAAGTTAGCAGGTGGCATATGAGCCCGACCGACTGCTTAGCCTTTTTCACTATATGATTTGTATGTTCGCTAAAGTTTAACGAACTGGAATATCTTAAACCTAAGTCACGAACAGACTGGCTGATGGGGATGACTACATCATGAAGTCTGAACTCTTCTGCTGCTATCTGACATCCATACGATAGAATACTACACTTCGATGTTGCAAATGTCATCTGCCACATATCAGCCCATCTCTCAATGGCTTCCAAGTCACTTTGGATATTGTTAACTTCAGCGGTACGCTGAGAACCTGGGAATGTGTAGACCACCTTTAAATCATCAGCAAACAAATAAGGCTTCCCAAATTGTATAACAGAAACCAGGTCATTTATATACAGTAGGAAGAGTAACGGGCCTAAGACACTGCCTTGTACCACTCCACTGGTAACCGGACGAGGTGAAGAGATATAACCATTGATATCCACAACTTGCGACCGTCCTACTAGGTAAGATTGGATCCAAGAGTAAAGCGGATTTGTAACACCTTACTTACTTAATTTACATAACAGCTTTTTGTGTGGGACTCTGTCAAAAGCCTTTTGCATGTCGAGGAAGATAACAGTGCACTGAAGACCTGAGTCAATTGCTTCAGTTAGATGGTTAAGTAAGTCAACTTGACAGGTAACACACGAGCGAGACTTCAGAAGGCCATGCTGTGAAGGTGAGAGAAGTTTGTGCGATATTAGGAACGAAACCAAATGTTCCTTAACAATTCTCTCTAGCATGCGTGAGAGAATGGCTGTGTGACCAATGGGGCGGTAGTTCCGGATGTCAGTTTTCGACCCGGACTTATGTCTCGGTATGACTGTAGCCGTTTTCCAACGTTCGGGGTATTGACCAGACTGGAGAGACAAAGAGAAGATATTTAATACAATAAGAGGAATATCATCTCCACCTTGTTTGGTTAAAGCAGAAGAGATCCCATCGGGGCCAGGTCTGTAGAATGGTCGTAGACAAGTAATCATACGTTTTATCGTAGCAACACTAAGTTAACACACCTTGCTTATTGTTAAAAATGTCAAAAGACACAAGATGTACGTTGCATTGGTGATTCGCTACCTCGTTTCCACCACCAGTCACATAGTCTAGCGACACCTCGAGACCGCTCTCACTGAAGCAGATTCGGATCGGGGAACTTTGAACGTACTGGGCAGACGCCACACTGGCAAAGTAGGGTAACAGATGACACTATCCTTCCCACAATACTGTTATCCTTGGGGCTAAGTTTTACCCTCTGGATTTAGGTATGATACTAACTGAAGAGACCCTTTAGTACTCACAACTTCGTGTGTGTGTGTGTGTGTGTGTGACTGGTGGCAGTTAGCAGTGGCTAGACCAACTGCTGGTATATGTGGAAGGGGAATGCTGTCCGAAGCCGGAGCACCCTCATGCAGAAACAGAGGTAATCGGTGAGCTCATATCATGTGATTTCTGCCATTACTCAACACCAATGCCACAAAATATCAGTATTCCGCACTCCATCTACTAGGTATCAATCTCAACTTGCACCTGTAAGAAAGTAATACAACTCTATGGAACTTTTGAATTTCCACACTTAGGCTGCTGTTTATCAGAATGCTTCCACTGGCTCGAACGCGATATCCAAACATGCCATCAACGGGAACTGTGGCCCACACAAACTGCACCGAAATCACAGCTTAATTGGAGGTCACTGCAACGGCTATGCACAATCTCACGGCACTGTGGTAGCCAGCGAAGAGGGTGCTACCAAGTCAATCACGGCGTTGACAGTGATGCTCAATGGCCACCGCGCAAAAGGCACTATTCATCGATCAGAAAGAAGCTATGAGTGAGTGAAGATAGGATTTGCAGTAAAATGTGACCCATCAGAGTTCAGTGAGTGTAGCTCACTACATTTCCTGGCCAACATTTCGCAACATACGATCGATGCCATACCATGCACATTTGTAAGCAATCCTCGGTCCCGGTAGGGGTGTACGCCCAAACTCGAACACATGTCCGCTAATGTTGCAATTCAGCTTCAGAACAAAGTACCGTTATGCATGTCTTGGCATTTTAGATTTCAGGTAATGAAGCTTGTATTTACAATGGTTGTTGGAGCGAACACCGTAAGCGCAACCTTTTACTTGTGCTGCGACTGTCCACTGTTTACACACTACCTGTGTTGCATGCGAAATAAACTTCTTGTAATGCTCTTAATTGTAACACCAAATAAGTATATCAGAAGACGAATGTTTTAGGATGACCCTGTCATTTGGTGCATTCTTATCGGCATACTTGATTCTGCGAGACCCACATCATGTGTGCCGCCCTTTACTGCAACTCAATAGCAATCCAACACTGCGGGGCCACTCATTGAAACTCGCTGTACGGTATGGCCGCCTGGAGTGTCGCAGAAATTTTTTTCCATTCGTGTCTGTCAATCGTAGAATGCGCTCCTAGAATCGGTCATCTCTGCACCGACACTAGTTTTATTTAAAAGACGGTTGGATGGTGCACTCATCCACTTACACTTTGTCACTTAGCACTACGTCTCCATCCTACAGCTGGAGTTTACCATGGAATTATTTGATGTTAACTGCGGGTGCTGTGAATCTAAGCGGATTGCAGGACTACGGCGGAGCAAACGATAAGTCCTTATTTTCATCTTTAAAGCACTAACTGTTTTACTATCATTATTGTCATTATTGTTATGTCGATATCCCTACGAAGTATCCAACGGAACTTGTAAAGCAACGCTTCTTAACAAGTATAAATTCATTGTTCATTTTTCATGCATGCAAACAACAAGAACCCAAATTACGATCACTTAAGTCCAATTGTTGGTCAGCTGAACTATGATTGAGAGTTACTCTCTACTAAGAAGGCTTAGCGTCACAGTCAACTGTTTTTGAACGCAGAGCATTGAGCGCTGTCGCTCAATAACAGTGGCCTCGAGAAGCTTGAGAATGTGTGACCTTTGGCTGCGCATGATGACTGCGAATAATTCATCCGAGCTTACCTGGTGATCGGTGTCCAACAAATGCCTCGTAATTGCTGAGGCAGCGTTGCTACTTAATTCACCCGGTGGAACCGTCGCAAATTTCATCCGTTTGCGGAACCACTTCGGAAAGTGTTCGTTGATCCGGACACCTAGATTTCGATCAGTGCGCCCAACAGAGTTGTCTCCTCATCTACACGTGAATGTGTATAGACAATTCGACGTGCATTGCCTCGACACCGGTGTCTTCAATGAACACTTAAGCGGTGGTCTTGGGGGCATAAGCATGCGTAGCTTCGCTGCATTGTATGCCTTTTTCATTGAGGCGCTTATTTGTATCGCTCTCACTTGTCCCTAACAGTTTTCCAACTGCTTTTGATCAAAGATGGAGTTCTTTATTCATTCACTTAATGCAGTCCGTGTCGTTCGCAAGGACAATAAAGGCGTAGCTGGATTTCATGTTGTTCGACAGCCCATGCAGTTTCTTTTCTGAATGCTGAATGACCCACGCCAGTACTAGTGCACCTCACGCAGGTTCGTTACTGATTTGCACTCCCCAAACAGAGTGCAATATTCCCGGGCGGACAACACGCAATATGCATCTGCTACATCAGTTATGGACCAATATTCGCTCCAATATGAATCGCGGTCCACATTGAGATTGCACCTCGCAATCCAATCATACAACGAGTACTTCAAAATGACCAACGCAATCAGTCGTTGACCGTTGTGTCAAGCGTTGCGCGCCGTAAATCGAGAGCTAAAGGTGTAGAGGTTTCGACTGCTATTCCAATGCGTCCAAGTCCGAGTGCCTACTGTCTCTATCTAATGAGATCAGATAGTTCGAAACCAGTCGTAGAATGCAATGTTTTCAGTCGGACAACATTCAGTATCTAAGTGCTATACGAGCCTGTTTACAATCATCCTAGTGGTGACACACTTTAATAGGCTAGCCAACAAGTAACCCTTGGTCGGTTCTTTTGTGCAATGCCTGCTGAATAATATCACTACCGGGAATTTAATACGAGTTTCTTATTAGGCTCGGTAGTCGTTCTCAGGCTGTCGTTTACGATATTTTTATCTACCTTCACTCTAAATCCCTTTGGACTTTATTGAGCCACACCTCTAAACACCTTGTATCCTGATCCTATCGGCTTTACTAATTGTCAGAGACCAAGGAACACCATTCCTCTGTCGGGCTAGGGCTGGAACTGAAGTATCCATGACACCTTGCCCAATAAGATGCGGGGTGTGCGTCAGGAGCTGTTGATAACACTTCTCCTTCGCTAGCGAGAAGATAATATCTTTACGTGTAACTTCAACCGAGCACGGAGTATTATATACCATTCAATTTCTCCTTGTGTGCTCTTTCTATCAGCGGAAAAGCTAAGAAGTATTTCCAACAGTTTCTCAGAAAACTGTGCCAAACATTTTTCAATCACTCTGGGTTCCGCCTCGTAGTGGATATTTCCCGGCCACCTTAGCACACGCCAACTAAACTCTACTCATTCGAATCGCAATTACTAGCACCATATATATATATATATATATATATATATATATATATATATATATATATATATATATATATAATCTGTGGTACAGATATTGTGCCATCGGAATCGTGGCTGAATAGGAAAACACTATGAATAATAAGAAAAGAGCAACAACAACAAATGCTTTTTTGTCTAGTTTACCACGCACAGTTTTTGAATTTTTCAGTTTGTTCTTTTTTAGCGGGTGGAAGAAGGGACAGCGAAACATACCGATGCACACGTCCGCCATTGACATCGACCTTGAGCCATGGCTTCCAAGATCTTCAAACAGCAAGTATCCGCACCTCTCGGACCCCAACCAGGTAGTCGACAACAACCGGCTGAAGCCAACTGTGTCGTCAGCTTTTTTATGCGGCTTCTCTATGTTTAAGCTGTACACCAGACCGTCTCTTCCAGCCCTGTCCAGCAACCGCAAACAACGCACGACGCGGGTAACGCTGGACAAGCATGCGCAATACGTGTCCCAACCACCGCAGTTGTTGCAGTGAGACGAGCTCCTCGAGCGAGTGGCCTCCACATCCCAATTCCCCGTTGCTTATGTGGTGCTGCCACCACACACGGGCAATGGACCGCAGACAGCGGTGCTCGAAGACGGATAGCCTGCGCAAGTCATCTTTACGAATGGGCCAGGTCTCGCATTCGCACAACAGTACAGCACGAACAGTTACACGATAGACCCGCCCTTTGATGGAGAGACGAATGTTGTGGCGACGCCACAAGTGCCTCATCCTAGAAAAAGCGAAGCGTGCTCTCGAGATGCGCATCGCAATCTCGTCTCCAACAGCCTCGCCAGCAGTGATGCAACTTCCCAAGTAGACAAAGCTCTCCACAAACGCTAGTATCTCATCACCAAGAGTGAGTGCAAGCAGAGGCACCTGCCAGTCTTGGAAGAGAGCCTTGCATTTGGATGGCGAAAAGTACATAGCATACTCTGATGCTTCAATTGCCAAGTGGTTTAGTGCAAGTTGGACGACGTGTGTATCGTCAGTCAGCAAGACGATATCATCAGGATAACCCAAATCAACAACTCGACTACCTGGGAGGAGTTCAACACCAGCGTTCAACGAATCACCCAGAGCGTTCTTCAGGACATCGTCAATGGCAAAGTTTAATAGGAACGGTGAGATAGGGCATCCTTGTCGAACTACACTGGAGACAACAAATGTAGGCGAAAGCTTGCCATAAACCCTAACCCTGCCTGAGGTCAGACTATATAGAGCGCGCAGTATGGAGACGAACTTCTCTGGGACATCATTCCTCAGTAGGCAGTGCCACAGTACCTTACGAGCGACAGAATCGAAGGCTGCACGGATATCCAGGCACACAGCAATCGTTGGCCTCTGTTACACATGGCGGAGCTCGAGGATCTGGCGGAGTGTGAAGATTTGATCGATGCAGCCGCGACCAGGGAGAAACCCAGCTTGTTCTTCTCGTTGCAACGATTCGCGCGTATTGGGGATAGCTTGCGAAGTATGATGAACAGCAGCATTTTGCAAATGACGGGGACTAAGCTTATTCCTCTGTACTTGAAGCAGATTGTGCGCAAGCACTTTTTGAAGATGGGGACGACTATCGATTCACCCCAAGATGATGGAACTTTCTCTTTCAACCAAATTTTCGAGAACAAAGTGGTGAGTTTTCGAACCATCTTTAAATAGAGATGGAGGAAGACCATCAGGGCCGGAGGCTTTATAACGCTTCATGTGCCGGAGCTCCTGCTTGAGCTCCTGGTGAGAGAGGGGATCTGTGAGGATAGACAACTCGGCCCCAGCGCGAGGGCCAGAGGTAGCAGATGGAGCTGGGGGCCAACAAAACTGTGAGTCAAAATGTTCGGCCCATCGGTCCAACCGTCGTTGAAGATTGGTGATTAAGGTGCCATCCTCTTCACATATTGTTTCACGTATACCAGATCGAACACCTCCGGTGACTCGAATGAGATGGAAAAGTTTCTGGTATTACCAGAGAGACTAGCATGCACGTTCACACCACGACGCTTCGCGGTCCATTTGCAGACTCTTGCGCAACTCTCGACCAAGGGATTGGCGTTCTTCTCTGTGTCTGGAATCCGACGGGATTAAGCGGCGTTAGTCCATCAGCGACAAGGAGACGGCGGAAATCCAATGCTTCGGGGGGTGACGGGCAACTGCACATGTGTCGATACTGGAGGAAACTAAGGCATCTTTGATATACGCCCACTGCAAATCGAGATCACCATCAATAGCTGTTGAGCCAAGTGAGGTTGACAGTGAGGCTTGGTACCTGGTCAAAATCGCAGGGTTTTGTAGATTTGCGACGTCCGGTCGGTAGTGAGCGCGCATTGGTGATCCTCCGAAACGCATGCAAACCTTAGCACGAACCAGTGCGTGATCGGAGTCTAGATAAGTTGACCAGTACGATCGGCAGTCCGTTCCGCTTCCGTGCCATCTGTAACTGATTGCTATGTGGTCAAGTTGGGAGCACTCTTGCGTTTGTGAGGGCGGGCGCCAGGTAGCAGTGTGTCTCCTCGATTGCCAAAAACTAGTGCTCGAAAGATACAAGCGATGATCAGAGCGAAGAGCAAGCAGTCTGTCTCACTTGTCTAATCGACTGCCACCGCGGCCAAAACTACCCCCAAGGTGGTGCTCGTTTGATGGAAGGCGGCCAACCTGTGCGTTAAAATCCCCGGCAAGAATGACTATATCAGTCCTTTTGGAGGAACGCAGAAGTTCATGTAGCTGCTGGTAAAAGCTATCTTTAACTGCATCCGGGCTGCAGTCCGTAGGCGCGTAGACGGAGAGCACAAACAAGGCACGCTTAATGTCTCGATGCCTGCTTACGTTACATGAACCTCGTAGTCTGACTGCACATAGCCGACTGTTGACTGGGATCCACTCAAGCAGAGCTGATTCAGCCCTGGCACCCAGTGCAACACCAACACCAGCTTGGCCAGTGGCGGCAGGTTCTGGGTCTCCGGAAAGCCGCAAGTGGTATTTGGCGTCAGGGTTTACAGGAGAGGCCATTCTGATGACAGCGCTAGAGTCTTGTAATCTGGTCTCTGAAAGGCAACAGATATCTACCGAAAGCGTTTCAAGAGTACGGCGCTAGACTTGCTTGTCTTCCGATCCCCATCAAAGTTCGAACAGTAAACGCTGCGAGGATGAATGGAGAACCAGGTGGAAGAAGAGCTGGAGCTTCGGTGGAGTGAGAGGCGGTTGCGATCGCAGGACATTGAAAACCGGGAGTTTGGCTTTTGCTTCCATCAGTTGCGAGACGTGGGTCGTTTGTAACGGTGACCGTAGAAGACATAAGAGCACATGTGGGTAAAGGACGGGAGGTGGGGTGATCTGTGAGTGGAGGTTGAGCGGTTGAGTTCGCATAGAAGATGGGCATAGCAGGAGCAGTAGTAAGCAGTGTGGTCCATGATTCGTCAGTGGGCGTGATACTACTCGGTTGCCCAGGCCGAAGTAGAGGGTTATCTTAAGCAGCCCTACCCGAGCCTTTGATCAAAGATCTAACCTACAAGGCAGCAGGGCGATGTGAGGGCGTCGCAACCCGTTGGGAGCCGGTGACCAAATAGATGATCCATACGCCTTTCGGTCCGTGAAAGACCAGGGACTCAATGCACCCTTGAAGTACGATGCCTCTCAGGAAGGGGCAAGGGGCAGTGGGTTTATTTAGTGGCGAATCACATGCGCCACGTCGCAGTGTTGTTAAACAAACATTTGTGGCTTTTTATAGGGAGAACGCTTGCCAAGCGAAAATCCCCCACGTCCTGGAACACTACCGCCGAACCATTTGCTGGAACGGGAAAAACCCGAACCACCCAGTTGGCATCACGAGGAGGTTGTTCGGCAAGCCAGCCTAGTTGGCAAGCCAGTGGATCGCAAAGCGTAGGAATTATTCCATCGCTTCATTACCTAAATCGTCTTGCTGATTTCTGACATTCGTTTCGGTAGTTACAGTTCCTTTTGTGACTGTTATCTGAGCTTCTGTGTCTTCATCGTCAACTCTCGCTTCCGCTAGCTGACCACACCGGTTGACCAATTCTCTCGGTCGGTGACGCTCGGTATACCCTGTCTTTGTCTCAACTGCGTCGTCCGGCCGCGATCAGTTCCGTGGTCAGATTACAACTCGCACCGGCAGCCACACGACCGTCGCGTTTCGTCGACCGTGTGATCTGAAACCAAAGTGCATTGAATCAAGTAAGAACAGGTTGGTTTTGTCACGTTCCCCCTACCCCATTAACCTGACTGTTGACACCTGATTTGCTATGGCCCGGCCGAAGTTTAAATGCACTCGCCTACCTAAGGACAACGTACTCTCTGTGCCGCGGCCAAAACGATTAAAATATGATGTCGTAAAACTACCACTAAATTGTTCTTCTCCGGCCTCTCAGCTCACATCCAAAGTTTACTCCTTGCGATCAGAGCTCGACCAAATGAAGAAGATTTTGGCCTTCTGTGAACCCCTCTAAGATCACTTAGTTTCACTAGATTGTATTAGCAACCCATCTGATTAGTTTGATCATGTTCACCTCAAAAAGGCAGATCAACTAATCGACACCATCGCCTCAGAGGTACATGAAAGAAACCGTAGAGTAAAAAATGTGATCGCTTTTAACATACCAGACAGATTCAGTTTGAACAAAGTAAAGATGAATGTACTTAGCGCATGTAACATGTCCGATGTCGAGTGTACATGTCTGCGACTGAAAAAGAAAACGCCGAGGCATTACTGTCCAGTCACTTTTAAATTTTCAAGCGAAGAACCGGCTGATTGTTTATTGTACACCCAACATATCATTACTGCATGTACCCAGTACAAAGATGTTTTGGTTAAGCCGGATCGTACGCGTCTGCAACGATCCCTCTTCAGAATTACACTGAAATCGTCGGAAAACCGTAAAAGCCACATGAAAATGGCACACCAAGTGTGTCAACCGCAGTTATCAACGTGGATCTCGACAACTCGTATCTAGCGGCAGTAATATCAAATAACTGACCAACCTTCTATCTCAACGCCTTCTGTACGACAAGCGAACTTAACGTACGCCAGTACTCGTGATCGCGACCTAATTGCTCCGACCTCAAACAGTTTAGTCGCTATAGGCAGTGTTAGATGTGACGAACAAGTGAATGTTGTGAACCAAATAAAAACACCGGGAAACAGACACAAAAGTCAAGATGCGCCCCCAGATTTACGCGCTGATGTTGTAAACACAAATATATACTCGACTGTTATTTACACAAAATACGCAGCTATGAGGAATTCAGTAGCGCTCAGATCTGCATGTCAACAACTGCCTTGCCATCACAGCGCTACGCGTCACTTCGAGCCTGTTAGAACTCACACCAATCATCTTCTGACTGCACCTGCCTACCAACCTCCAACAGGCCAGCATATTTATCAGCCTCAAGTCTACAACAACCCTAGACAGAGAAATGAAAATCAAAAAGAAGTTGTAAGCCTGACAATACCATTTGTCATGCGACATACCTATTCAGCAACTCAGAATTCATCATTTTACCTTAACCCTTATTTAGCGAAAGCGTGAATGGCTCCGTACTCATTCCCAGCACTGACAGACCCAGCATAGACAGCCTATATTGTTTCACTTTTCTGGCAGTTCATGCACATGTCACGGTTAGCTCGATATTAGATAAACCCCAACCTTGCCTCGGGACATCAATCTTTTCCGCTCACCCGGTCTTACTAGCGCGAACAATGCCCTTACACCTGAGCTTTCCAACGATGGGTTTGTTTTCACCACCCCCTTAGTTAACTTCTCTACCTGTCATTTCTGATTCCAAATCCTTTGAAGTACTCACAGAAAAGGTTTTTTTGTAAACTACATTTTCACTTATACTAATTAATGCAAGATGCATAAAAAACAAGTTGCATTTTGTAAGCATGCTTACTCAGCTGAGTACTCCACATGTAATCTTCGTCACCGAAACATGGTGCTCCATTGATACATTGAATGCTACTTTAGATATTCCTAACTACTACCTATTTCGAAAAGATTGCAGCACAAAGAAAGGCGGCAGGTGTATCTTATATCTCCATCGGAACTTCAGAGCAGAGTTCATTGATGACCCACAGTTAAACAATGTCCCAGAATCTCTATGTCTATCGGTGTCTGCAGCCTCCTCTACAACACTTCTCGGTTGCATCTACAACACTCCGAAAGTGACAGCCAAAGATATCGCAATTAGCTCCTCGGCTTTTGAATTCGCATCGGTGTTCCCACACGGTCTAAAGGTAATCGCTGGCGATTTCAATCTACCGAATATTACATGGTCACCACAAACATCCTCATAATTACACAGGTCTTTCTTTTCGACTATCAGGGTTGTGGGTTGGACTCAGTGGGTTACCAGACCAACTAGGTCTGCCAGCATACTGGATTTAATTTTCATCCTGGGGATTCCTGACACACAAATTGACATCTCAGACAACCTTCCGGGTAGTGACCACAACATGCTACGCCTTTCCATCCACTTGGAAATGAATACCAAACTCGACTCACCTACCCAGCATACTAGACGAAGGATTGACTGGGAGCATTTCGGAAAGCAGATCCGATCCTCTAACTGGGATTGGTTTTTGCTCTCCACTAGCGTCCACATTGCAGTGGAACATTTCTGCTACCAGATCAATCACATCCTAATTGTACATGTCCCTCATAATAAATGTGCCATTCCTTGCCCTATGAATGTAAGCGACACTCTGAGTGACTTGAACACTAGAAAAGTACTCGGGAAATTCGGAAAAAATTAGAGACTTCTCAATAGTATTACAGCTGCATGAATCCACCGCCTTCATCAAGTGCTCACAAATGAAACGGATTGAAAAGGAAGAGGAGAACGCCTTGCAGATGACATGCAAATGAAAGGAACTGGCCAAATTACTCCGTTGTAGGACTAACAATCAAATGTCTTTGATTACAGAACTTATTGATGAGGAAGGTCGCCACCTTAACGACCCACCTGTTATTTGTGAAGCATTTAGCAGTTTTTCGCTGCTTCCATGAACCTAGAAACCGACCCTATAGCTTGCTGCCAGGAACTTATAACAAGCGGCATAGATAATGTCGAGCTTTCTCTTTCGACCATCCACCAGTCTATGAAGTCCATCAAACCGTCGCTCAAACCAGACTTCGACGGCATCCCCCCATCAGTTACTAAAGTTGATGGACCTGACATACCACTGCTTTTGCTAAACATGTTCACCTTGTCGTTAGAATCTAGCTACTTTCCGGATCAGTGGAAAACATCGTTTATTGTTCCTCGTCATAAAGAGGGGCCCAAACAGCACGTCACTAATTATCGACCTATCCATCATACTCCCGTCGTCGCTAGATTACTCGAAAAATTAGTTGCAAGTGGAATCATGGACTTTATCCATCGTCATGGGCCACTTACCGAATCCCAGCATGGGTTCCCCGACAAACGTTCCCGGACAACATGTCAGTTGCACTACCTGGATCATATCACAGAAGCCACTGAATCGAAATGTGCAGTTTTAAAATACTGTTCCTGGATATGCAGAAAGCATTCGACAGTGTGCCCCACAAGCGGCTACTGAAAAGAAACGAGTCGTTTGGGAAAGAGCCCCAGTGTTTGGTTGGATGACATCATACCTAAATGGGCGTTACCAGATAATCAATCTGGGTAATCATAACTCCTCCATACGTCCAATCACTAGTGGTGTCATCCAAGGGAGTGTACTAGTTCCTTCGCTTTTCCTAGTTTATAATAAGGATATCACGGTGTTCATGAAATATGGCAGGCCATTTTTGTTCGCCGATGATATAAAGATAGTCTATAAAATATTCCGATGAGACGAACTCAATAGCGCAATGCTGTTCGTTCAAAAAGACCTCGATTCACTTGAGAAACGGTGCAACACATGAATGCTAAATTTCTCAGCTAGTAAATCATGCGTTATGTCACACGGAGGTTTAAGCCCTGAAGAATCTGTTAAACTGAACAATGAACGTATTTGCATGAAACTATCAAACTGTGATCTAAGTATACGATACTCTTCAAACTTTAATTTCTCAGAGCTAGCTGGGTATCAAATAGCACGTGCCAAACGATCTGTGGCTAACAAATGCCATAAAATCTATACAAGCCCTGCCAGACTCGAGCTTTTTAAAATACTTACACTTCCGGTCCATGAAGACTGCAGCATCATCTATGGGAACATGCGAATGGGTGACTGGAAAGCTTTGGAAAACCTGCAAAGATCATTCACTGAGCGCCTGTTCAGTAAAGCAACCACCTTGAATTATCAGGAGCGTTGTCAGCAGCTTAAGATCGAGCCCCTTTGGTTGCGACGACTGAAACATAACCTGATGCTGATACACAATCTCATAAACCAAAAGACATAATCCAATCTGTGTACACTTATATTTCAACATAACTTCACTCGGATTATCCGCAACCACACCTGTACATTATGTGTGCCGAGAACCAGGGCAGCTATCCGATCCAACTTCTTCCTCGTCAAATGCGCTGTCGTGTGGAATAGCCTACCAGCCACAATCAGGTCTTGCACAAATGCAAGAGCATTCCACATTCAGCTTAGCAAATTCCTTGACCAGAACTCGATAATGACGATGTTCCCATCAGGTAAATCACCACACGAGTTCTTTCAGAATGGACCAAGGAATATATACTTAATGGTTAAAGATGGTACAAAGAAATCAGCAACAACAAAAGTTACGTGATTCTAAATTATGTTGATATCATACAACCCATATTTCATATTTCATTCAGGCACGAAGATGATAATTATTCTACCCATGATATATCCACAATCCAGGGACAGCTTCTCGTACAATCGGGAAATATGCGTATTATTACCACAGTAAAATTCTCAGTGTCCTGCAGCCATGGCTTTAAATGCAACGCTTTTGTCGATGACCCGTAATCAGTGGTTTGTCAAGATTTGGGAGCCCGAACATTATCGCAACCCACACATGACTGACCTGTGGCTGCAAACGTTTGCAAGACGTCTGTG